CACATCTCTCAGAGTTTTAAAAACATATATAAGTTTACGCAACCTGCTATTAAGGGTATTAATGTGTTCATGAAAACGTAGAGTGCTATCAATTATTACTCCTAGATATTTTACTTTTTCAGCTTGACATAGTTTGATGCAGGTATCCGCGTTATTAAGTGAGTTGGAACATGAGTGACTGACGATAGAGTATGGTGGTGATAATGTTGTTAATGTGTTATTTTTTAATCTAAATGCAACATAACATGTTTTATCTATGTTGAGTGTCAGCACATTACTTCGGAGCCAGTTAGAGACTGTGTTGTAGCCCAGCTGGGCGTACGTATAGATATCTTGCCATGAACCTGCGTTAAATAGGAGGACGGTATCATCTGCATAACTTATTATCCGCCCTTTAGGAAGAGTGAGTATACTCATTTCATTAATATATATTAGAAATAAGGTTGGAGAGAGTACACTGCCCTGAGGCGTACCATAGGTAATTGTGCGTTCAGTACTGATGAATTTATCCACCTGAACGCACTGAGTACGTCCACTCAAGTAGTCTTCAAAAAGTTGCAGTTGTATACCTCTAATTCCCAAACTCTCCATCTTACGTAAAAGTATGGGTACAGAAACCGTGTCGAAAGCTTTGGCGAGATCTAGAAATATGCCAAGAACCTTCTGCCCATTGTCCAAGTTTGTAACAATATAATTAGTAAGATCATGAATCGCATCCGAGGTAGATTTACCTGACCTAAAACCATATTGTGAGGGCGAAAGAAAGTTATGTTTTTCCAAGTAGTTTACGAGCCTGTTGTTTATTATGCGTTCGAGTATTTTGGACAAGGCAGGCAGCACAGCTATAGGTCTATAATTATTGACACGGTCTCTGTCCCCACCCTTATAAATCGGGTGTATGATCGATTTTTTAAAAGCTTTAGGAAATTTTCCGGTTGTGAGAGCCAGATTGCAGATATATGTCAGGGGTGGGACAACTACATTAATATGCCTTTTAAGGAGATTAGAGGGTATTCCATCCCAACCCACAGCACAGTCATTACGGAGAGATAATATTAATCTTGCAACCTCGTCCTCATCCGTTGGTAACAATACCATGGAGTGCGAGTTGTTGTTATTGTTGTTGTTAAAAGCTTTTTTTATTGACTCTGTAAGTCCATCCGATATCTTTTCCGCGAGATATTTACCTATATTAGCGAAAAATTCATTAACTGAATTAACAGATAGCTCCTGAGTGGATGATGTGGTTAATAAGTGATAGGATGAATTTTCTTTCTTTTTTGCCCTATTTGTTATGTTATTTATTGCTCCCCAGAGTTTTTTAGGATTATTACTAGTCTTTTTTAATTCATTTTTTTCATATTCCAATTTAATTTTTTTTAACAACTTATTACAATAATTTCTGTACCTAGTAAAAGATGTTTTTAATACTTCATTGTCTGGCGACTTTTTTAATTTTTTGTGCATATTGTCTCTGTGTCGGATACAGCGTAAGAGACCTGGAGTGATCCATGGCTTAATGATTTTTTTACGGTTTGGTACTTTCACGGTTTTTGTGTTTTTTTGGACCGCTTGTTTGATAAGACTTATCATTAAATCTGCTGCTACGTGAGGATCTTCGGTATTACGAGTATATACTTCACTAAAGTCGATTAATTTTATGTCGTCAGTCAACTGATCATAGTTAATGCACGTCGTTGTTTTTTTAATCGTGATTTTGGGCATTTTGCTTGCGAGAAATAATAACACGGTTTCATGATCAGTTAGTGCTGAGTGGGCTACTAATGTTGAAGCAGGCAATAGAGTTTTAAGGACAAAATGATCAAGACATGCATTTTGTCTAGTGGGCAAAAAATGTGCAGGCAGCAGGCCGTGTGATGCTAATAAATTTAAATAATTAAGTTTGTTTGTGTCATGGCATTGTTCCTGGATGTTAATATTTATGTCCCCGGTTATTATTATATTGTTATAATGTGTGATATTAGTCAGGATTATGTCAACCGAATGCAGGAAGTTAGTGATATCTCTATAACTTGGTGGTCGATATATTGCTAACAAGATGGTATTATAGTTTATTTTTATTTGGAGACAATTTGCATCTAAAAGTGACGGTTCCTCTACAAAAACCTGTAGGTTTTCATGTATGTATACAACTACTCCCTCATTTTGTGTTAGATTGTTAGTAGTCTTAAAGTATTTATAACCTGTTAGGTCAGGAATATTATGTGTATTGGGAAGCCAACATTCGGTTAATGTGATGATGTCCCAATCGACCTTAGTCCTAGCGAGTATGGTATAGAAACCTATCATATTTTTTGAAATACTTCTAATATTTTGATTAAGTATTTTGAGTGATTGCTTGGGGTTGAAATTAAATGGGATACAGTTGTCTAAATCACAGGTAGATGAATCCGACACTGAGACAGAATCTATGTTGTTTGTGTTATTTAGTATATTATCGAATTTTATTGTGTTTGTTTTTCATAGTTACATTTTTGTAAGTGACATTTAATAGGACTAAGTTGATAATGACAATTAATTGGTCGCCAAAAGTGGTACAGAGAGGAAGCTGATAGTATATAGTATACATTCCCGTATTGCACACTGCATGTGTATTCTTAGTTAATAATATTAGTTGTATATAATGTATATATGTATTTGTTAGTGTAGTATTTGTGTGTTTTGTAGGATATCGTATGTATATTAAATAATGTTGGTTATTAATACAGTTTTTTAAATTAATGCTATAAACATGCAACAAGAATAATATAATACTTTTGAACAATATGGAAGATAAAATAACGCAATCTAGTTTATATAATCTATATTGTGACTAAGCCCGAAAATGGGATTATAAATCTATTTGTGACCAAAATAGATACAAATAAAAAGCAAAAAGAAAAATATATACCCATAAAGTCATTAAAAAAAGGCAAAGGAAAAAAATCAAAAATGTACAAGAAAACAAAAACAAAGAAAACTGTTAACTAAAAATTAAAAATTAAACTGACCAAGTAGTTGCAAGTTGTTTTTACGACGTAAGCACTATGAATATAATTTAGGAGGATGATTTAGATGGTATTACCATGCCTATAATTTTTGAGAATGATTTAGATAGTATTGAGCAGATAGAAACATTAGTAAAGAACTGTGGAGTTTCATTAGAAAATCAAGATGGGATTCTACAGAAAAACAGTAAGGTTGAAAATCTTTTTAATGTCCTTGTAATCAATGTAGATTTTAAGAAAATGTTTTCTAAGAAGAATAAGGCAGCTACAAAGTCCAATCAAACTACGCACATAACTTGATCAGAAAAAGCGGTTCTAGACGGCCCGGCTATTATATGAATGATGCTGAAATTCTGAAAGATTTGATGGATTCAGATTAATACGAGTAAATCCAAGGGTATGGTACAAATACTAGTTTAGTTTAACAGATACACTCGTTAAATCAGTGAAAAAGTATCTAAATGGTGCGGAATAGGTATAACGCGAGTTATCCACGAATTTTTCTGCCACCAGGGTGGCGCCACTAGAAAGTGAGGTATAATATTTGACTGATTTCATAGCGGCGAAGTTAATTTCTTCGGGAATTGTAATGGTTATTGTTTCTTTCTCCACTATTAGTTATATTTTATATTAATAAGATTAAAAATAAATAAAACAAGCTAATATATAAATAAAATAAAAAATAAATAAAAAAAGAGTTAAAAATGTGAAAAAAAAATTAAAGAGCAAACCACTGACGCATTGTTTTGTGTACTCTAGAAACTGATAAACTTTTATTAAAAACCAACTTCTCAATTAAATTACATTGTGTAACAAAAAACTTTACCTCAGTCAACTAGCGACATCTGGTGATGTCGCTAGTTGACTGAGGTAAAGTAGAAAGTAGAAAATTATTAGCCCTCATTGTCTTTTATATTTAGTGCTAACGTAACTTTCTAAATAAGTAATAGTGGTTTTAGATCTCACTTCGTTACCTGCTACTTAAAATAACTAAAGGTTATTAATCAAAACACGTAGTATTATATCTAAGCGATTTCGTAACATTTTTTATTTTATTATTAAAAGAAATTATAGAATAAGGGTGACGAACGAGCACACAGTCCACCTGATGGTAAGTGGTTACTGTGGCCTATAGACATCTACATATATCTTCGTTTGCGATTTGAAATGCAGATGCGTTGTCAGCCGTGAGGACTAAGATAGAATGGCTCTTTTCCAGTAAAAAGGGTCTCCGGTTCTTCATACTCACCATACGAAACACAGCAGCAGCATTAAGCTGTTATTTTACGCTGGTATTCTTTGAGAACGTGGTCCTTCCCCGGTCGAGCCGACCCATTCGTGCTACAACTATACTATTAATATAGCTGCAGCATGGTTCTACCACGTATATTATGTTGATAATAAACTTTATTATATGTAAACAGTTGTCTAGTTATGTAATGGCTTTATATCAAAAATGATTACGCTGCAAAGCAGTTAAGTTACACACACAGAGTGTGTATATGTTTTTAAGTTATAACCCAGGCATTTTTTCTTTATTCACATCTATGTCGTTTCTTTTGATCCCGGATTCTCAGAAAATAGAAACAGACTACTTTTTTCTAAAATACAAAGAATTTGCATGTTTTAACTCGTTTGAAGCATTAGTATTTGATAAACTACGACAAGACTCACAACATCAAAGTGTTTTATTATCAGCTTGCATACAAAATATATAAGACAAACAGTGTAGAATTTGAAATTTTTGTCTATTCATCCCATTTTACGGTATTTAATCACTACGTTATTTAGTACATATTTATTTATCTATGATTTAGTCAACTTTAGCACGGAACACGGATTTACGTCTGGCAACACTGAAACAGCTGATATCTGCCTACCAAACTGGCCTAAAGGTCTAGATGCCAGGCCATAAACTCCAAAAAAAAAATATCTGCCTAACAAACAAAACTAACCTCCAAATGAATTATTTATAATATTTATTTTTAAAATATGAGTGGAAGGCTAATATTTCGTTCAATATTTAATAATTATCCTAACAAGTTACTGCTAAACCGAAATTTTTCTCCATGTAGTAGTGTGCTGGTTAGCATTTTCAACGTAAACAACAAAGCATTTTGTACAAAAACTAAAGCAAAAGTAACAGAGAAAAAACATTGTAATATTGGAACTATAGGACATGTAGACCACGGTAAGACTACTCTTACAGCGGCTATAACTAAAGTACTATCAAAGGATGGTTCTGCACGGTTCGTGTCTTATGACGAAATTGATAAAGCACCAGAGGAAAAAGCCAGAGGTATGGTTCTTACGTTTTATTTAAGATTTCAAAAAAGATACTTGAGTTATAATAATATTTTCAACAACTAGTCCTAAACTTCGTGCATGAACAGCAACTTTGATTAAAATGCGTACAGTGCATGTGTCGTGTGTGTATTTATGCCATGAGCACTGTCAGTCAAATATTAAAAATGCTCAGGACCAAGGTATTGCTTACTGTAAAGCTACACAGGCTTAATATAAATTTTAGCTAGAACAATTGGTTACATAATAGTACATTTATACTACGACAAATTCCTACATTAATTTCTATACTGTTTACACTTGTACGTAATTTTTTGTGTCCGAGTAGTGTTTATTTGTAAGTGTACGGAAATTGTGTCCGAGCTGTTCATACGCAAACTAGTTAGTGATGCTCAGTCAGTATGGATAAACATCGTGCAGCCGCTATTGCTACTATTGTGATAAAAAATGGCAAAAGACGAAAACGCAGTATTTGGGTAGATCAGTGGATTCAAGAAAGGTAAGAATTAGGAGCTTACCATAAATTGCTGAATGAGTTACACACAGAAAATCATCAAGGTTATGAAAACTTCTGTTGATTGAAATATGAAGATTTCCAATATTTATTAGAAAAAGTTACTCCTATAATACAAAAAAAAAGATACGAGAATGAGATTATCTATCACTTGTGCACTCAAAATAGTTAGGTGTATTGAAAATGTCAAACCTGTTTGAAAACTTTTCAACTACACTAGACACTTAGACACAACGTATTCACATAGCGGCTGATGCGACACTAATTATCTTGTCACAATAAATTTTGCAATTAGAGACACCTGCGTTCATACTGAGATACTCGATGTATACACTGAGTGGACCAGTCTCTCTCATAGATTACCACATAAGGGAGGATATTTGCCATGGCTAGCATGCTTAGCAGACAAGCTTGCAAGTTTACTATTTGGGATATTTGCTAGGTAGATCTTTCCATTACAACCTATAAAAGGTCCAATGCTGAACAATCTATAGGTTTCCCCCATAGATTGCCTCACATAGGGGATTTTGCCATAGTTGACACACTTGGCGAGCGGGTTGTCAACTGAAGTTTTTTTTATTTTGAGATGGTATCAGGAAGATGCTGCTGGCAATCTTCTGTTTCACTTTCCTTCTTTCGCCTCTTACAACACCCTCGGAACGATATGGTGTAAACTATGTGGCAATATATAATTCTACTGTTTGTTTGTCACTGAACTCCTAAAAGGCTAAACTGATGTTTGTGTGTTTTAGTGGGTCTTTGGATGATTTATTCAAATATTTATATTAAAAATAGTTTATTTCCTTAACATTGTTTAGTAACAGTGTTATCCCGTGGCCAGAATCACCCAGGAAGCTTGTAAAAATGCTTGTATTGGGTGATTCTGCTCTTCCCATGAATTATAGTTAAATGCTAAGTGAGGGTGGGTGTATAAAATATGTGTGAAGTGTGTGTATAGTGTAAGTGTAGTGTGTATGTTTAATGTATATGTAGAGTATGAGGAAGGTGTGAATGAATATAATGTGTGTGTATGTGCCTTTTTTTAGATTCACTATTGGATGTAGGTAGGCATTGCTGTCAAGATCTGGAAATCACATGGGCTAAAATTTGGAATCGTTTGGCAGGAGATGGGGCAGAGGATGGGGTGGAGGTGGGAAGGAGGAGTGCCCTCGAACTCCCGACACCACTCCCATCAAAAGATCACACACCGTTCTTGATACAAATCAAAAAGAAAATCCCATATAGGTCCATATAATCCCATATACCTCAAAATGATAATATTTATCTCTTCCGGCAGGAGGGGGTGCGGGGTTGTCTGCTATCACAATTGTAGGGATTTCTGAGTGCTAAAGTATTTCTGGGTGGTAAAAAATTCTGATGGTAAAAAAATAACCATGAAGGCTGTGTCGGGAACGACGTGCAGTTCCGCCACAACCTTCTGAGCTTATTAAAACTGAAAGTATTTCTGGGTGCCCAAGTATTTCTGAGCACGATAAAAACTACAATAATACTGGAGAGCACACATTCACGCAAGATCTGCAACCAACGGCGGAACGCATAAAAATTAGTACGTCATGCGATTTGACACTAGACAGAGAGTATAGACCACAGAAGAAGAAAATTACCACTGTCTAGGGACACTAGTCTTTGACATGGTCTTACGTCCTTGTCGCACTTATACAAAATTCTGTATGCTATCCAGCTTTCACAGTAATATTACATGTGTTTTTCCGTTTTACACATTTTAGGTTATAATAGTTTATTTTCATTTTCTCTAAAACGGTGCATTACCTTTTAATGCGATTGGTATTGTTGTAATCGGAGACTAAACCTTTACGAAATAAAACACCTTGCTCCCCCAAATTTCTGCCAAACGATTCTAAATCCAATCCATCACACAAAGCCGGGGCGCATCACTAGTAATAAGTATAGCTATAGGCCCAAATTATTACCACTGGTAAAGATCAACTTTTCCACTTTCGACCAACTGTTTATAAGTATACTATCAGACTATACTTTACCGGTATTGTCTATACCATTTTTTTTCAGGTATAACAATTAATGCTGCTCACGTAGGCTACAGTACGAAGAACCGTCACTACGCTCATACAGATTGCCCTGGCCATGCGGACTACATACGTAACATGATATCGGGCGCCTCGCAAATGGATGCCGCCATTTTAGTCGTTGCAGCGAATGACGGCCCGATGCCGCAGACAAGAGAGCATTTGTTACTGGCAAAACAAGTTGGCATACAGTATATTTTGGTTTACATTAACAAGGCTGATCTGGTTGATAATGAGGTTAGTTTTAATATGAATAGATATACAACTAGCCGTCCTTGCCTTAGTGCATTGTGAAGATTTTGACCCCGTGTAGTGGCGGGTGAGAATACCCACTACCCCATATCTCCCCATGGGTGTCGTAAGAGGCGACAGATGGAAACTAAGGCAGAAGACGGGCAGCAGCATCTTTCTGATAGCAGCAACAATAAAAAAACTGCTCTTGCCAACCCGCTCGCCAAGCGTGGCAACTATGGCAATACACCCCCCCCCCCCCCCCGCCATGATGAAAGTAACGAAGAGGCGGCCCCGCTATTCCTGGCTACGGTGGCGACCATGATAACCTCGTTAAATACGTTGTAAAGATTGAGAGTGTGTCGACAAGGGTTGCGTACCTTACGTACTCAGAATCATCAACCTCGGCACATCCCGACGAGGAGGTGGAGGCAATGTATGAAGATATAGCAGAGCCATGCATTCCTTCAAAACGCACTATACGGTGTTAATGGGAGACTTCAATGCAAAACTAGGCACAAGAGAGAACGGTGAGCTGAAGGTTGGGAAATCTGGTATTCCATACCATGGGGCAACGGAACCCAAGGTACCAGCAATTGGCCGGCTTCATGGAGAAAGAGGGACTCTTTATGATGAACTCTTACTTCCAGAAGCGGGCCCGCAGGAAGTGGAGCTGGTCTTGCCCCGATGGTTCGACAAAAAATGAGATTGACTTCATTATGACGACCAGGCGACAACTGTTCAGTGATGTCTCAGTGATCGCGAGGGTGAAAACCGGCAGCCATCACCGAATAGTTAGAGGCACACTGAACCAAAACGTTAAGTTGGAGAGGTCTCGTCTAATGAAGTCAACGCTCCGTCCCCCTCGTGCTCTAATCCAAAGTCCCGAAACCTTTCAGCTCGAGTTACAAAACCATTTTAAGTGCCTAGAAGACTGCAATTAAGTGGACGATATGAATGAGAAGCTCGTGGAAACTGTCAATGCGTTCGGAGCTAAGTTCTGCAAGACCCGCCGCAGAAGGACACAAAAACTCTCCGATCACACTCTTAATCTCATGGCTGTTAGGCGGGAGATGAAGCTACATTCTTCAACAGATTTGACAGCATACAGGCAACTGAACAGACAGATCTCCAAATACATGATGCAGCGAGACTTACGCAAATTCAATACAGCTTGTATTGAAGAAGCGGTCGAGCGGTACCAAAGCTCCAAAGTCTTTGCTAGAGATCTGTCTGCCAGAAAGAGCCAACTGTCAAAGCTGAAGACCGAGTGTGGCAGCATCGTTTCCGGGGCACCTGAGATTTCGAGTGAGATTGAGAGGTTCTATCGACAATCGTACGATCCAAGAGCAAGTCTTATCAGACACTATTCCGATGATATTCCGGACGTCAATCTGAGCGAGATAAAAATGGCTCTCCAGCACCTTAAAAATGGCAAAGACCCAGGCGAGGATGGAATTACAGCGGAGCTTCTGAAAGCGGGTGGAAAACCGGTACTTGAAGCCCTTCAGAAGCTCTTTAATTCCGTCCTCCATGGTGGCACTACACCGGAGGCGTGGAGTAGAAGGGAGGTGGTCTTGTTCTTCAAGAAAGACGACAACGCTCTCTTGAAGAACTACATACCGATTTCCCTTCTGAACCGCGTTTACGTGCTGTTTTCGAGAATCATTACGAATCGTCTCGCATGCAGACCCGACGACTTCCAGCCTCCCGAACAAGCCGGTATCCGAAAAGGCTTTAGCACTATAGATCACATACATACCCTTCGGCAAATTGTACAGAAGTCCGAGGAGTACAATTTGAGTATGTGAACTGTGAGAAAGCCTTTGATTCCGTCGAAATTTGGGAGGTGCTGCAGTCCCTTAAGCGGTGCCAAGTTGACTGTCGATATATAGAAGTGCTGAAGTGTTTGTACAGTAGAGCTACGATGGCTATCCGAGTACAGAATCGGAGTACGAAGCGTATCCAACTGCAGAGAGGTGTAAGACAGGGTGACGTTATATCCCCGAAACTCTTCACCGCTGCATTGGAAGACGTTTTCAAGCTTCTAGACTGGAAAGAATACGGTATTAACATCAGCGGCGAGTACATCACTCATCTTCGTTTTGCCGACGATATAGTCCTTATGGCAGAATCGCTGGAGGACCTAAGCACTACGTCAGGTATACCTCAAAACTTGAAAACGAGACTGTACAACCAGTGCGTATTACCAGTGATGACCTATGGAACTGAGACTTAGTCCTTCACTGCTAGCCGGATGAGTAAGGCTCAAGGTCCCTCAGTGAGCTATGGAGATGGCTATGCTCGGGGTTTCTCTGCGTGATAAACTTAGAAAAGAGGATATCCACAATAAAACCAGAGTAACTGACATAGCCCAACTGATGAGTAAGCTGACGTGGCAATGGGCCGGTCATATAGCTCGAAGAAATGACAACCGATGGTAAAAAAGGCTCTCGAGTGGCAGCCTCGTATCGGTAGGCGAAATGAAGGACGACCCCCCACTAGATGGAGTGACGACCTGGTAAGACATGCAGGAAGTCGATGGATGCAGGTGGCTCAGGACCGTGCTCTGTGGCATTCCTTGGGGGAGGCCTATGTTCAGCAGTGGACTTGTGAAGGGCTGTAATGATGAATGATTATGATTGTGAAAATTTTACAAATTATTTTTAATTGAACTGTATTCTGGATTTTGGTATGACTTTCATTACGGACGATATTGTTCTCTTGGACGATTTTACAAATGAATGTGGACATATTTATAATCGTCTTACTTAGAGCCTTATAACTTTATAACCCCCTGCCTACCAAGCGTGCCAATTATAGCAAATATTCCCTTATGAGGTAATTCATGAGGAGGCGTATGTTCAGCAGTGGAAGTTGATAGGACGTAATGGATGGATAATCATTAGTTTAATTTATTTTATCAATTTTTAGCTCTTAGAACTGGTCGAAATCGAAATGAGGGAAATGCTGACAGATTTTGGGTATGATGGCAGCAGAGTACCAATGATTTGTGGCTCTGCGTTGAAGGCGCTCAATGAAGATGAATCTGAATATGGTATGGTCGTTCACCAACATTACTTACCTCTTCTCGAAGCAATTTGTCGTGTTTTTAAAACCCAAAATATTTTTTTTCTTTAAAAAACGTTACCCCCACACTAGGATTTTCTCCTGTATCGTGGATGCAGTTTACAAACTAAATTGCACGAGGACAAACATCCAGACTCGGAACAATTATTTGTAGGCCATACAAATACTTGTTCCGTGCGGGATTCGAACCCGCGGCCCCCAGCGCAACAACTCATTGCTAAGCCACTGCGCCACGGAGCCGTAAATTCGTCGTTACGCGGCGTCAATATACTCGTAGGTGGTCGCATCCAAGCTTTTCTTTAAATAAGTTTTGTAAGTAGTTTATACAATCTTTCTTATTGTAAAAAAAATCCCACTGGGTTTCTTGCTGGTTCTCTCTAGAACATCTGTTCTAGAACCGTGTGTGAGTGTTTGTCCCAAACCAGTGGTCATCATCATCATCATCTTCATAATTACAGCCCTTCACAAGTCCACTTCTGAACATAGACCTCCTCCAAGGCAGCCACGAGGCTGCCACTGGCGAGCCTTTTTTCCCCATCGGTTGTCAGTTCTTCAAGCTACATGGCCGGCCCATTGCCACATCAGCTTACTAATCCGTTGGGCTATGTCAGTTACTCCGGTTCCATTGTGGATATCCTCTTTTCTAAGTTTATTACGCAGAGAAACCCCGAGCATAGCCCTCTCCATTCTCGTTAAGCGATCTTGAGCTTCCTCATACGGCCAGCAGTGAAGGACTCTGTCTCAGATCCACAAGTCATCACTGGCAATACGCACTGGTTCTACAATCCCGTCTTCAAGTTTTGAGGTATAACTCAAAACTTGAAGACGGGAAGATATGTCGTAATTTCCCAAACGCTGCCCAACCGAGTTGAATCCCTCGATTGACCTCTCGGTCGAAGTTGGATTTAACTAGTCGGACTATTTGTCCCAGGTAAATATAATCGTCAACAACTTCGAGTTTAGTGCTCCCAACTACTACCGGCATAGGTGTGACATGGACGTTACACATGATCTTCGTTTTGTCCATGTTTATCTCCGTTGAGAGACACTATTGATGTCATTGAGCAAAGTGCTTTGGTCCTCCAGCAATTCTGCCATAAGGACTATATCGTCGGCAAATCCAAGGTGACTGATGTATACCCCATTGATGTTTATATCGTATCCTTTCCAGGCAAGTAGCTCGACAACGTTTTCCAATGCAGCGGTGAAGAGTTTCGGGAATATAACATCACCTTGTCTTACACCTCTCTGCAGTTGGATAGTTTTCGTACTCTGGTTCTGTACTCGGATAGCCATCGTAGCACTACTGTACTTCAGTACTTCGATATACCCACAGGCAACTTGGCACCGCTGAAGGGACTGCAGCACCGCCCAAATTTCTACAGAATCAAAGGCTTTATCATAGTCCACATACGCAAGACATAGTGGCAAATTTTGCTCCTCAGACTTCTGTACAGTTTGCCGAATGGTATGTATGTGGTCTATGGTGCTAAAGCCTTTTCGAAAACCGGGTTATTCGTGAGGCTGGAAGTCGTCGAGTCTACATGCGAGACGAGAACAAGACCACCGCACTCCTGCTCCACGCCTTCGGAGTAGTGCTACCATAAATGGCGGAAGTAAAGAGCTTCTAAAGGCCTTCCAGTACCGGTTTTCCACCCGCTTTCAGAAGTTCTGCTGTAATTCCATCCTCACCTGGGGGCTTGCCATTTTTAAGGTGTGGGAGAGACATTCTAATCTCGCCCAGACTGACGTCCGGAATATCATCGGAATAGTGTCGGATAAGATTTGCTCTGGGATCGTTACTCACACTTGCATGTGGCTCCAACGATGATGTGTACAGTTGCCCGTGGAACCGCTCAATCTTACCTAAAATCTCAGGTGTCTTCAGCTTCGACAGTTAGCTCTTTCTGGCAAACAGATCTCTGGCAAAGACTTTGGAGCCCTGGTTCCGCTCAATCACTTCTTCAATACGAGCGGTACTAAAGTTGCTTAAGCCCCGCCGCGTGCATTTGGAGATCTGTCTGTTCAGTTGCCTGTATTCTGTCAAATCTGCTTAAGACTGCAGCTTCATCGCTCATCTAACAGCCATGAGATTAAGAGAGTGATCGGAGAGTTTTTGTGTTCTTCTGCGGCGGGTCTTGCAAAACTTTCTCCGACCACATGGACAGTTTACCACAGCTTGTCATTCATATCATCCACTATTGCAATCTTCTAGGCACTGATAACGATTTTATAACTCGAGCTGAATGTTGTCGGGACTTTGGATTAGAGCATGAGGGGGACGGAGCGTTAACTTCATTAGACGGAACCTCTCCAACTTTTTGGTGATCGCTGCCAGTTTTCACCCTCGCGATCACTGAGACATCACTGAACAGTTGTCGTCTGGTTGTCATAATGAAGTCAACCTCATTTTTTGTCGGGGGCCGTCGGGACCAGAAGTCGGCCAGCTGCTGGCCCCTTGGGTGCTGATGCCCCATTCCAAATTTCCCTACCTTCAGCTCACCGTTCTCTCTTGTGCCTAGTTTTACGTTGAAATCTCCCATTAACACCGTATAGTGGGTTTTGGAGGAATGCATGGCTCTAGATATATCCTCATACATTTCCTCCACCTCCTCGTCGGGATGTGCCGAGGTTGGTGCGTAAACCTGTATGACCTTCAGCGAATACCATTTGGTGATTCAGAATATAAGGTACGCAACCCTCGTAGACACACTCCCAATCTTTACAACTTTGTTAACAAGAATCAAAATCAAATCAAATAAAATTATTTGATTTGATTTGATTTGTTAACAAGAGACTTTTGGACGATAAATCCGACACCTCCTTGAGACAGATGGTCGAACTCCCGGTGATAGAACAAGTTGCCGGATTCTAGGATTGCCGTGTCCTCCCCCTCTCTTCGGACCTTGGATAATCCTATAATATTCCAACGCAACTTGTCTATCTCTTTGAGCTCTGGGATCTTCTCGTCAGTCCTCAGGGTGCGTGCGTTATATGTTGCCAGGTCGAGTTGTCGTAGGTGGCAACCGAACCTCCACCGGAGGTTCTTAGCACCGCCTGCCCCGCCATACCATGGTAGTCACCGTTGCCAGGAATAGCGAGGCAAGCGGGGACTGGGGGCCGTTTATTTGTGTCGTTGCTCATGGGGTATATTGCCATAGTTGCCACGCTTGGCGAGTGCGTTGGCAACCGCAGTTCTTTATTGCTATTTTGCTGTTATCAGAAAGATGCTGCTGCCCATCTTCTGCCTTAGTTTTCCTCTGTCGCCTTTTACGACACACACGGGAAGATATAGGGTAGTGAGTATTCTTGCCCGCCACTACACGGGAAAACCAGTGGTTAAAGTTAAAAATTACTTTCAATAAGAATTATTTGTAATCTGTATTGAATAAAAATGTAAAAAAGTCTGTTCTAGTCTGTTGTATTCTATTCCTACATATTCTATTCTAACTTGTTCGAATAGAATATGTAGGAACTTGTTTCTAACTTGTTAACGCCCTTCGATCTTTAAGACAATTGGAAAAGAATATAGACACTCATAATTTTCTTCTTTATAATTATTATTGTCTAAGTGTTATTTCTACGAGACTAACGTGCCGTTATCGATGTTAGTAATGTCTCAATATTATTAACGCGGCGTCACTAACAAATTGCGAGTTTAGAAGCACGCGATACTAACGCCCTTCGATCTTTAAAACAATTGAAAAAGAATATGGAAACTTTCATAATTTTCTGCTCTTTAGTTATTATTGTCAAATAGGTACTTATACGGTATTTATACTCTTACGCAAAAGTCTTCAAAAGGTTGAAACAATCTACTACAAACTAAAATCAATTTCCATTCTGATCCTAATCACCGCATCAATACAAGGGCAAATACGACGCGGTTGCTATTGCTCATTGATGCATCATTCATTATTTAAAAAAGAATGCTATGTCAAATATTAGAATAAAATTAAACGAATCAATAAGGTGAAACGGCAATGGGCATATCTCGAAGAACCTATAACCGATTCGTTCCTTTAACGTTCGAGTTCTAGTGTTTTTTTTATTATTTCGAGTTGTTATCGGAAAGATGCTGCTGCCCATCTCCTGTTTTAGTTTCCCTCTGTCACCTCTTACGATACCCACGGGACGATATGGGGTAGTAGATATTCTTACACCGCCACTACACGGTTACTTTAAGTGCATACACCAGGAAATTGGTTTACTGGTTTATTTACTTAAGTTAACCATGTAATTTTAAGTAACTTAATACCAGCGTGAAGTAGAGGTTTGTCTCTGCGTTTCGCTTCCATCTTAGTCCTCACGGGTGACAACGCATCTGCATTTTGATTTGTAATAGATGGTAGATGTCTATGGGCCGCAGCAACCACTTACCATCAGGTGAACTGTGTGCTCGTTTGTCACCCTTATCCTTTAAAAAAAAAAACTATCTAATATTTTCACTGTTAGTATCCCAAATATTAAGTAAATAAATGAAATTAAAATGCTTTTATTTTCAGGCACGCCCTCAATTAGAAAACTTTTGGACGCCATTGATAATTACGTACCGCCTATAGTAAGGGACCTGTCGTCTCCCTTCCTGATGCCTATAGACAACGCGTTCACGGTGCCCGGCCGAGGGACAGTGGTCGTTGGAACTTTGAAAAGGGGCGTTATGAAAAAGAATGACGACGCAGAATTAATGGGCTTCGGATTTTCTATCAAGACCACGCTCTCCGATATTCAAATCTTTAAGAAAAGCGTTGGTGAGGTATGAAAAAAAAGAAAGTAATCAATAATTTACTAGTACTAGCAATATATTTTTACATATGAGCTTTGTGTTTAGGCTTAATCAGTTTATTTTAATGTGCAAGCAGCTATGCAGGTCTAGAGAAAGAGATACCAGTATCACTCTCGACATAAAAGATCTATTGTGATCGCTGTGTCTATAGTTCACTGGTAAGCCCTACGTCCTCAATGAATAGGAGGAGTTGCTTAGCTGTGAGCAATTTCACTTCTTCTGGGCGAAGTACATAGTTTCGCAGATGAGTGCTACGTTTGCGTGTTAAGGGTGCACAATTAGTCAGGATGTGTAAAGGCGTTTCTTCTTTTAGGGAATAAAACCGGCATATCCTTGAGTTGCTTAGTCCCAGGATGGACATGTGCTTTTTAAGACAACAGTGTCCAGTCGGGGCTCTTACCAGAATGCGCAATTTATTTTTACCTAATCCGAAGCGAATTTACGATCGAAAGCCCGGATTAAGGTTTTAAAATGTTTTAAGCCTGGTGTATCAGACCAGATCTTAAGTGATTTATTGTGATAAAGTTTCAAGGGTCAATCGGGCGAGTCTTTTTGAGATTCCACAAAATGGCTCGGGTCCGAATTGTGTACTCTTTGAGCCCTCCCGTGCGAGCTTATCGGCAATTTCATTGCCTACAATACCCGCGTGACCCGGAACCCATATTAAAACGACCCTATTGTTACCTCCTAGAGTGTTTAGACGGTTCACGCAGTTTCCAACTAGCTTCGAGTTCACCAAGTTTGATCTCAGCACTAGGAGTGCTGCTTGACTATCAAGAGTTGTTAATATAGATTACATGATTGACGTAGTAATTTTTTACTACGTCATATTTATGGCGAAAATTTCTGCCTGGAAGATAGAGGTGAATCTACCCAAATTCATATCAAGTTTAAATTTGTTCGATGATGTCAGTGCTTCCCCATGCTGTGTGATGAGTATTGGCATTACATCCCACAAGTTCGGCGTTGTGCTTTCGGGCGAATTCCGCCACTCGCTCTAACTCGATGGCAGGATCTGGATTCTCCCCGGGAAGTTAGGGGTCGTCGTAGGGTAAAAGTTAATATTTTTTTCTAGATTATGCAAGCTCTGGGTCTACTGCCTTTAGTATTGACTAAGATCTTACCGGCAGCCGACAATCCCAGAACTTGACTGTTGGCCACCCAAGGCTCTTGTATGAGGGCAAGGTCTATGTTGTCCTCTGCAAAGCAAACATTCACCACGGCAGAAGCAGCTGCTGCATGGTGAAGATTTGCCTGAAGTACCCTCGTCTTCCCTTGGGGTTAGCCATTTATAGGCCTGAGGGGTGGGGGGAGTCGTTTTCGCCTACTGAAGACGAAGACGTCCTTTACTGGCACTCTTGTTGCCCGCCGTATCTTTCGGTCTACCGCTTGCAACTCCTTCCCCTTACTCCTGGCCGACACCAGCGGGGACCCTCGGACCGAGCCGAGAACAGCGCCTTGGGTTTCAGTCACTCTCGCTGATGACGTTCTAGTTTCACTCCGCGAGGTGGAGGTCTGGGGGGATTGGAGTTGGGTGGTTCAGGCTTCATTACCGTGCCAGAGCCTTCCCTGACCTAAAAAGTCATCATTTTAAAGCTAAGGACAACTCTGCCGCCTGCCGGCCGGGGGTCGTTTAGAGAAAAGATTATTAGGAACCTATTTTCTTCCTTACGGTGGAGGATTTTCCAGAGCTCACAGAAAAGCGTTATCGAAGATAGATCGTATACAATAGACATCTATTGTCTATTGGTCACAGCAACCACTTACCATCAGGTGGACTACATGCTCGTTTTTCTCCCTTATTATTTAAAAAATAAGCTCTGTATGAAGCCCTTCATTTTGTGCCCTCAACAGCACAGCCGCCTCCTGGAGAGTCAGCTGTGCTGTAGGACATAAAGGTGATGCCCAGTTCAGGCTTAGGCAGTTCGCTCTCGAGAGCTCTGCCTCCGGCTAGGGTTTCAGTTTCCAGACTTCACCCCCAATCCAGTCCTGGCTTGCCTTATTCAGGCACGTTACCAGAATCCAACCTAGTTTGTGGGTGAAACCCGAAAATTTCGGTCCTAGCAATAGCCTGCGTTAGTGCCCGGTCGACCATCTGCTCCACGCTTATAGGATTCGAGTTGCGAATTTCTACACGCGCGGAGCCAGCTACGGCACTGAAGCTGAGCTTCTCCCCCGTTGCTAGCTTCACAGATTTCCTGGGCTGGTCTTTGGGGGACTCCTCCTCAGACCGACTGCGTTTTTTCGCCTTCAGAACTAGAGGAGGTTTGGGTAAAGGAATTTCGTCCCAAGGCTTCTGGCAGAGAGGGCCTCTTAGCTCCTGTCTCAGCTGCTATCAGCCTTCGGTACTTTTTCCGTGCTGCTCCACTAAGCTTATAAGGCCTAGCGAATTTTTTCCCTCCCTGGTTCGTTTCCGACTGTGATTCGGCTGCAGATGTGCCTTCCACTTCTCGGCTCATCCCAGGTTGGGGCGTAGAGTTGCAGTGTGTTGGTGAGGCTAAAAGAGCCTCTTCCAGACTTACTGACAGTTCCATTAAAGGAGAGTTCATATTTTCATCCAAATGTCGATTTTCGTCCATTTTGGTCCTACGATTAGCTAGAGAAAAATTCGGTCACCCCCGGCAGAGCCCACATACCGACGGAAGGACTAAAATACTACCCGAATCGCCTTGGTCTCTGATAGGCACCGTTTGTGACTGGACACTCTATAACCCAGCCAGCTTCTTCATTAAAGTTAGGATTTTTCTAATTTCAAAAGACTTACGAATTGGCCTATGCTTGGTTGGTGATTCAAAGCAGTCAAAGCACTCGAAACTTTGGGAGTGTTAAATTATATCTAGGTGGAACGAATCCTTTTCTACCTAGGAAATCCTCTGGGTAAATACCAACGTCCTACCCATTTCTACCGTCAAATAGCAGTGCTTGCACGTTACGGTCCAAAGGATATAACTAGAGAGCCAGTATAGGTTCAGTGAGTGAGGCATTCCATCTCAGTCCACAGAGATGACAACGCATCGGTAGCCTTCTTTGTTTGAAGTTGGTTGCATGTGTCCATGGACTACAGTAGCCACGTACTATCGCATGGATTATAAATTCGTTTGTCACTTCAGTTTAAAATAATTATTGTGGTTTTTTTTTTATATATTTATGTACAACTTTTCTTATATTATTATGTTTTCATCCGACCCTGAGCAATGTTCAAAATTTCAAGTCTCTTGCTCATCGGGAAGTTACTTTAAAATCAATTACTAAATTCCGCCCGAACAGACATACACGAAAGCGAAGCGAATAAAAATGGATTTAGAATTTTGTCATCGAGTTGTGTATACCTTGAAAGTTTCCGCTATAGCTAATCAGGCAGTGCTCGAAATTTGAGTTGCAATATTCTACCCGGAACGACAGATAAACAGACAGACAAACTAGAAAGTGACTTAATAAAACGTGTATAATGATGACTCTTAGAAATGAAAGTCGATAAAAAGCTTTGTTTCGTTTTATTAGATATCTAATTAATTTTCTAACAACTGTGGCCATGTGATTTACTATTTTAACTTTCAGATATAAACATTGCAGGCACTAGCTGGTGACAACGTGGGTGTGTTATTACGTGGCTTGAAGATACGCTCCGTGGAAAGCGGTATGCTTCTATGTGCCGCGAAGAGCGTGCAATTGAGCAACCATTACAAGGCGAAGATTTACTTTTTGTCGAGAAGCGAAGGAGGCAGGAAGAAGCCGGTGTTCTCCAAATATTCACAGCAGATGTTTAGCGGAACGTGGAATATTGCGTGCAGAATTGATTTGGGTAAATTCGTTGCATATGATCTATTATCTCTATTTCTGATAATTTATTACCCGACTGCCAAGGTAGGGTTATGTTTTTCGCGTATCTTGTATGTTTGTAAATTTCTTTATTACCTCGTATCTTAAAAACGATTTCTACAATTAAGGTATTGTTTTGTTCGTCTTAGAATCCCAAGTGTTCTTAGATCGCTTTTCGAAAAAAATTAACAAAATGGCGTATTTTTGGCGCGAAATATTAATACGTTAATTTTAAAAAAAATACCAAATCTATCGAGTAGGGTACCAAAATAAAGGAAATTAAAAGGCAATTGCAAATACATATATAAGTTGTAGGTTTAAATTCAATAAGGAATAATCAATTGGTTTAAAGTTTTTGAAAAAAATGGTAAAAACGTAAAATGGGCCATGTTTGTGTCGGACATCGTGCTATCATATGAAATTTAATGTGTCGGGACACTAAAAAGTCTAAAATAAAATAAATAATTAAAAAAATCAAAAAAACAATTAAAAGTAATGCGCTAAAACGACCGAAACAAGATTGAGAATAGAAAATAATAGTAGTCTGTTAAACCGAAGTTTTAACAGACTACTTTACTACCGAACTGAAGTTTACTATGTTATACTTTATTATATGTTAATATTTTATTTCAATTTTATTCTCTATTCTCTCTGGTTTTTGATTTTTTAAATTATTTATTTTTCTTTATGGCTAACGGCAAATAATGCAAGTCAAATCAAGGAAAGGATATTCTTATACTAGTAATTAGTACAGTACCTAACTTACATGCTGCCTTTTAAATAACTACATTTCGTAAAATTCAAAAGTCTTGTGGTTTAGTTCCACTAGTCAATTTCTTCAAGTGGCTTATTTTTTTATAGGATAGGGTGACAAACGAGCACACAGTCCACCTGATGGTAAGTGGTTACTGTAACCCATAGACATCTACATCTATCCTCACTAAAGACTCAAGATGCAGATGCGTTGTCACCCGTGAGGACTAAGATAGAATGCCTCTTTGCCAGTAAAAAGGGTCTCCGGTTCTCTACACTCACCATACGAAACACAGCCGCGTTAAGCTGCTATTTTACGCTGGTATTCTGTGAGAGCGTGGTCCTTCCCCGGTCAAGCCGACCCATTCGTGCTACAACTATACTACTAATATAGCTGCAGCATGGCTCTACCACGTAAAAAGTAGGCTGTAGGTAAGGATTTTATTTGGGCGTTTGAGGATATAATTTTCTACCGACTTCAAATAGGAGGAGCTACTCAATTCAACTGCTTGAATTTTTAATGTGTGTTACCTCATAATTTCTTTCTGGGTGAACCGATTTCAATGATTTTTATTTGAAAGCTGGTGCTTCACATGTGGTTCCTTATAAATTTGATTAAGGTCTGACCAATAGTTTTTGAGTTTTTCTTAATAATTTGTATTGAAGTCGGTTGAACAAAATTTTTAATTTTAAATTATATTATGAATTAATGTGTGCATTTTTATTGTATGATGCCGTTTATGAGGGTTTTATAATAATGTATGACTTATGAGTATAATGAACTAATTCACAACGCTTAACCTTTCTTTCCCATTGGTTGTCGGTTCTTCGAGCTATATGGCCAGCCATTTTTCACTTCAGCTTACTAATTCGTTGGACTATGTCGGTTACCTTGGTTCTAACTGCGGATGTCCTCATTTAAATTCTAACTCTATCACGCAGAGAAACCCATAGATCGCTGAGCGATTTTGAGCTTCATCATACGGCCAGCTGTGACCACGTCTTAGATGCATCAACAGTCATCACTGGCAGGCAACACGCACTGGTTGTACAATCTTCTTTTCAAGTCTTGAGGTGTACCTGATATCTTTGATATGTATATATATGATAGATTCTTACCTAAATGCAGATTTGTTGTCACCCATTATCTGGTTATCGTCATGCACCTTATGAAACACAGTAGCATTAATGCTGCAATTTACGCTAGTTTTTTGTAAGCATAGTAATACCTCCGGCCGAACCAACCCATTCTCGTTACAGCTATGCTGCAACTTGATTGATTGAACGCCGTATAAAACAAAACACATTTTCTTTACAAGAGGTGAAAATGAAGCAACAGTAGCCGGAATGTCATGGTCATGGGTTCGAATCAGCCATCCAACTACTGTCGTGAATCTTCGAAATCGTCGAAAATTTTCAATCCCATATCATTCCGTAAGAGGCGACAGGGATAAACTTAAACATGAGATGTACATAAAAATTGTAAGAAATGACTGCTGTGATTCCCATGATTGGGCAATCGGTTAAACATGTTAGATCTTTTAAGTCTGTATTGCCCAAATGTCCAAACGCTGCTCAATTTTAAGACGCCATTAAGTCCCATGCTGCCTCTATCTCTTTAAGTCAAAGTGACTGTGACACCACGAGATGATATATTATAGATCTTAAAATGGAGTAGCATTTAAGTATTCGGCCATATGTCTATAGTATTTGAGATAATTTTCACACAATCTGATAACAAATTCTCCTGGTTGAAATTTCTTACGTCCTCACCACTAAGCAAACTTATCGATTTACAGTATGTCGTTGTTTCCAGAACCAACCATGGACATGATGATGCCGGGCGATCACGGAGAAGTCTACTTAACTCTTCTAGAAGGAATGGTCATGACACAGGGCCAACCATTCACTATACGAGAGAACAACGTAACTGTAGCCACCGGTATTATAACAGAGACTTTGCCTTCGTTAGACGTTCCCAACGGCAAACTGGGCAAAGTTGTGATAAAATATGAAAATTCGTGAATATTGTTGTAAATATAAAATGTAGTGTTAATAAATTATTATACGGTTATCTTTGTTTTATTATACGTTAAAACCGTTTATGTACATTATACGTTTCTTTTTTTTTTAATTTGGCAGGCGAAATTCCGTCTATAGAAACTATTATTTTGGCAACGTTGTTAATTTAAAAAATAACATAATAACGTAGTCCAGACTAGATTTTTTGTATTGTGTTGTTGTGCAGTTGTCCATCAAGACAGGATTAGAGTGCTTGAGTGTATGTGCAAGCACAGGTGCACTCTATTCCCTCACTCTTATAGCCCGCTCGAACGGCAATTAACGGCTTTTTGTGCTTTCGGAGGCACGGGGGGGAGGGGGACCCTATATTGCCTCCTAGGGGAATTGCCATGCTGCAGCTATTGATGAATTGTCTTACGTTGGAACTACAGTGTTCCTACACAGACACTGATTATGATATAGAGGTTGATGTCATTGACACTGTTGGACAATATGTGCGACTCATTATAGTTGTAGCACGAATGGGTGGGCTCGACCGGCGTAGGACTACGCTCACAGAATACCAGCGTGAATTGGAAAATTAATGCTGCAGTAATGCGATTGTTATAAACTTAGCGGCCTGAATTCAAAAACCCAGAACGACATCATCAACAGTCAGCAATTGAGGTAAGAGTGACAAAGCAAATTTATATTGCAGAAGTTAATGACAGTCGGCAAGGGACGCCCTAGATTAGTCGTGTAGTTCGCGAACGATGAACGATTAGGAAACGTATCTTGCCACTGTACTAGAAGAAACGTTTGCGAATGCCGATTGTTAATCGGTCTAACAGTTCTTATCATTCACCTACACTCGCAAGACGCCAACGCCAAACCGTGCGTGTGAGCCATGAAGCAAAGAACGACGCACGCAAACAGATCAACCCAGAATCGGTCAGTAGGTTAGTAGTCATTCAAGGTAGATAAAAAATATTGGATATAAGGTTAATTTTAAAGCAAATAATTATTACAATGCTTATTTTTAGACATTTGAAACCACAATTTTAATGTAATATATCAAAAGAATACATGTATTGATGGTTTTTAAGGAATTCTTTCAATCGAATAACACTGCTTTGTAAACCGCCATCTACTCCATTCAACAGGTATTAAATTCATTTTGTCAAACGAAAGTTAATTGACTCTCAAGGTGGCACGTAAAGAAGACACTAGATGGCATAAATATAAAATTTAATATAAAACCATAAATCACTAAGGTAAAAAATCGATCGCAGATTGTTTTGAATGGACTGAAATATGATAATTTTATTAATTATGGTTAATTTTATTTACCACTTTCGTCCCGTGGGTTTCGAAACAGAGGACTACGCCAAAAAATCGTAACGGCTTTCAGGAAACGGCGGAACAGCCATCTCGTTTCCGTCAAACATTTATACCAATTTATACCTACCTACACCGACGTCGTACAGCGGCGTCAAAATGTGCGAGACTTGGTTTTACGATCGTCATGGGACGACGGCTCCGTGGCGCAGTGGCTTAGCAGCGAGTTGCGGCGGTGAGGGCCGCGGGTTCGAATTCAGTACGGAACAAATATTTGTATGATAAAAATAATTGTTCCGGGTTTCGATATGTCCTTGTGAAATTTATGTATGTACACTACGATACAGGAGAAAATCCTTGCAGGGAGTAGTTTAAAAAAAAGGTAAGTGCCGTGTTCAATTATTGCAGTGGACTTGCACAGACCGATGTAAGCAACAAGTGGTTAAATTAAAAAAAAATTATAACAGACTCCAATATAAATAAAATAATTTATTGTTCATTTTTTAAAACCTGGGAAGTATACCCTTTGAAACAAAAAATGATTTTCCAAATCGATTCAGGACTCTTCGAGTAATCGGTGAACATACATAAAAAAAAAAGATTCCGACGAATTAAGATCCTCCTCCTTCTATTTTGAAGTCGGTTAAAAAACACTATTTACTTACCTATTTCTATCACCAAACATGAGTGCACCCACTTTTGTTCCGGTATAGGTATCACTATGTGTTCAAAGCAGTAGGAAACAAGAAAACATCAATAAAACTGCAAATGATTTTTTTTTATCATTATATATTTTTTTGTCAGAAGGTAATTAATACAGTGCCAAAACAGTAACAAATCATTAGTAAGAAAAATCAAGTCTGCATCTAGCATGAACTACTGAATATTGAGATAAACAATATTATACCCTATACGGTCTGATAGGAGGACAACATTTAACACATATTTTTCACAACATTTGAACAGACAGTTGGCGTAGTAATCTATTTTTTTTTTATATAATTGTGTACTAATTTTAAACACCAATACGCCTAATGGATACTGTAATTTGCTACGTTTATCCTAGAGAGGTAATTATGTGCAAATTGTAAAAGTCAAAATCATTAACACGTCAAGTGTCACAAAATGGCGCCCAATTTCGGAGATTCAATAATCATTTTCAAATTAAGTTATCACAGGTGAAAGTATACTGGGGTAATTATAGCGACATAGAACCCAGCAAGATTATGCAACATCGAGTATATATTCAAGCGCGAATAAACCTTTTATAAGACGATATAACCACAAAAATTAACAATATAAAAACTATCTAAGGCAAATAAATTAAAAGAACACTTCAAATATCTTTCTCTTGTGCCCCATCAGTTCAACAACGATGTCAGGAAAGATAATTGTCATATATTGGCATTATATAAAATTATAAAATAAAAACAAATTCCAAATATAACTCGAAACAGTTAGTAGCAATGTTGCCACATTAAATATATTGCACACTTCGGTAGATTGTTTTGAGGTTACGTCGCGTATTTGCACATAACTACCCTCCGATATAATACTGCATAAGAGCAGGTTGCAACTACGAACGACCGCGTGATTTCATTCCAACCAGCCATAAATCTGCTCTAAAATCAGTCTGTAATAGTTGTCACCATTCCGCACATATCTAATAAACATTAATCACAAAGATACTTGTATACATGGAACTAACATGAAGAGACAAGGAGACATGTCAAAATATTAATAATTATATATTTTTCATTAATTCCATCTAGGTAAAATGCTATAGGTACCGTCAGCGAGTGAAGTGAGCTACACTTATATTTTATACATTATTCCTTGGTCCAATGCGAGAGCTAACTTGGCATCTTATGAAATACTATTTTAGCTTCGTTAACAAACATTTTGTCAGTAGTACCCGCTTTTTTTTTCGATATTGCACATCTCTCTTTCTAATCTACTAAATCAATTCCACTATTCTTTCTAGTATTTATTAAGTTAAGTAGTGTGATCGGATATAACATAAGTGTGTATTTTTAGAAAAATACAAATACTATTTCGATATTAGCAGAGCAGAGGAAGTCGTTGGGTATAAACAGGCGATCACGTTTGGCCCGTAATCGCCAAGGTGGGTGTTACCACACAAATCGATCGTCGAATCATCAATCGACGTCGATCGATTGGAGTGGTAGCTTTAGCTGATCGACGGATACTGATCGATAAAACGTTGTTCAATCATCGATCGACAATTAATCTATGTGGTTGTGGGTTCATTATCAGTATCTTTCAAAATGGCGTCAACGGGTTTTCGAAAAATAAAGTAGCTCAATCGACGTCAACCAATCCATTCTACAATCGACCGATGCTATTGATCGATGGGTGTGGTAGAAATTATCGATCGATTGGTGTGGTAACACCCTTAGAAGGAGATGTGCTATATCAAATTAATATATTAGCGCACATTCACGATACATTCTTCGCAGTACCAATACCATGGAATTTAGTTTTAATAAGCTCATAAAATTCGATATTCACCACAGATAGTATATTTTGTATTTTTTTCAACTTTTTCTTTAGTATCTTAAAACATCTAAGTATTTCATTTAAACGGACAGATCCAAAGTTTTACGAGGTAAGGACTAGCGAATTTTTTTTACTACGATTCGTATTACAAATAACTGTTTGCACCTACGAAGCTGCTAAAAATAACAAATAATCATAACAAGAAACAAATATTTAAAAAAAAAACAGAATGCAAGTCCATAAAAGTATGTTAATAATGGGCATTTGTACAGTGGCAGTGACTATACGTATAAGAAGTGAAATGCTGAGATTTTGAGACGGTTAACTAGAAAAACACATTTCTTAATACGAAGGCAGACTTGGCAACATTTAAATACAACAACAATATCATATGAGGATATAATTATAGATTAATATTTCCATTTTTAAACACCAGTTACACACTTCTCCATATATTATTTATGTCGAATTAGCTATTGAATCTATTACGCTCATCAAATACATTTTATACAGACAATTGAGTTAGATTATAATTTTCATATTCATAATTTGCAGTTTGGTTCTGACTCTATTCAAGAATGGAGAAGGATATCTAATACTTTTAACTTTTTTGAAAACCGTTGCTGTATATACTGAAATTAAAACAGATTTAACTGATAAACCTATTTCTGCGATGACACTAAGCGTAATATTTGAAATATTTTATGAGCAATTCGAATTTGAATGTAGTTACGCAATAAGGATCCAAAAGTTATTTCTATAATATGTCAAAATATTTAGCCTGTACTTCTTCTTAGTTAAAAAAAAAAAACTGTAGCGAAAGTCGCAACCGATTGAAAAAATAGGAATAAATCGAAGCAAATCTCTGCCACTGAATACTGATCCAAACTTTAAAGTCAATATCTCCATTGTAGTTTTTATGAGTTGAGTCATTTGTGCGTAACTACGTCCATTTCAAAATCGGAAAAAGGAGACAATTCATTTCTTTTCTTTTTCACAATTCATTGTAATACACATTAGGACATATTTTAATAGTTACATTATAACAGAACACGTTAAACACTGTCAATTAAAAGTCACTTAAAACTTAAAAAATAAACGTACAAATACATTATTGGTGTCGACAAGAGTGTAGCTTAGCACCACAATTAAAAACTAACAATTAG